GACTGGGGCCCCATGGAATCCATACCTGTCATGTCTAGCATTGACCTAATCTCAAAATCAGCCATAATACAGCCCAGGAGTGCCTCCAGGATTTTGCACAAAAGGATTCCTGACCCTACCAGAATATATGAAACAAAAAGTTAAGAAATATTTAAATATTTTAATAGATAGAGCCAAGAAGTCTTGAAAAATCAGTCCAAAAATTAAGCCTCTTTTTTTTTTTTTGGCCTGTTTCTTGTTTTTAAAATTGCCAAGTACGAGTGTTTCTCCTTAATTATCTAGTTAATTACCCTTGTCTGTTTTAATCTATTTCTAGTCATTTTATTTTATATTTTATTTATTTTATTTTAGTGCACTTCCACTGAAGAGTAAAGCTTTGTGGCTGGGAATAAAGCAAAAGCATATAGTCAATAGCTATTTTTTAAATTTTAAGCTACCACCTTCGTAACCTTCTTTTTGTTTTGAAAATAGGCCACATTATTCTAATAAATGAGAGCATAATCATAACTCAAACTGAGGCTTCCAATAGCTGGCCATTTGTATACTATTTTCCTTTTCATGAAAAAGCTACAAAATAGGAACAGACAGTAACACATTTTTAGGCAAATTCCAGGGTAAGTTAGAGGATCATAGCACTGTCTCCCCAGTCAGTCTTCTAGCCCTCCCAGAGTCTCTGGACTGTAAGTGATAACCAATGTCCATTATGACCAGCCAAACTCAGTACAAGAGGATCAGTGCTTTCCAAGTTTCCACTGTATTAGAATTATTTTAGTTTCACTGTGTTTCATTGTTTTCTGGTGGTTTATTAACCAGATTCCAGATAAATGGTTGTTTGTTGAACTAAGTATAGAGAACTACTTTGTAAGTATAAGGAGGTAAAAGACTACTTGCAGGCTAACTGACTTTTAAATTACAGGCCAACTATCAGAATACACCTCATCATTACGTTTCAGGTGACAAAACTTATTCACGAATATTCCCAATAATTACGTGCCAGCGAATCTAGACGTCTCGGATACCTGCTCTCATGCCCTAGGGTCTAGAGCACAACGTACTTGCATTCCAAACTTCCTTTTCTTAAGGTAATGTAATCTATTCTGACTTCTTAGTACATTAGCATCACACTCTGTTGATGAAATCAGGTGGACAGTTTGAAGGTATCTGCTGAGTCCTAAGCAGGGCACTGTCACTCAAGAAAGAAATACAGCACGTAACACATGGAGGGCTAGTGCATCAAAGGGTGGCAGTGTAACAATCCAATTGTTTTTAATTTTGTGGAATTTACTTTTGTTTTCAGAAATTATGTTGGACAATTTGGAAGAAAGGGGATAAAACTGTGTGAATCTTTTCCAAGGATAGCCTGCTCAATAAATGTCATAAATCATCTGGACCTATTCTAGCTTTTTTTAAAAAGAACCACAGATCACACTGAACGTCATTCTGACATTTCAGTATTTCAATTATTTTTCAGATTTATTAGAAGGTGGGTACACTGTAAATTATTTTACTTTCCTGAAGTCTTCCTGAAGATTCCATATTTCTTGTTAAGGCTTTGGAAATAGTCTAGTTATTTGCAATAACCTGGACCTGACCTGCACTATATTGCAGTAGAAAAAGATACTATTTTATTTATAGTCACCATTTCACACACATTTACTGTTTCCAGTCACCTGAGAAGCACAGAAAACTGTCCTGAAAATTTAATATAGGAGAAAGGATATATCAGATAACTTCCTACTTAGAATTTTTTTAAATGCATAACTTAATTCAACTTAACAAATACTTATTGAACATTAATTTAGTTCAGGTGCTGTTATAATAACATAAGACAGTCTTTTTTGTTATACAGATCAATTAGTTCCAGGAGTCTTTACAAAGCTTTTCAAAAGTCACAAAAGAAATCTTGATTTACCCTTTGGGAAGTTGGAAATAATCTGTCTTCCAAATCAACATTTTTTTTCTACCTCATTTCTAGAATTTCCCTGTTTAACCCTGGACAATTCCCACCTATTCTTTCTTTAAAACAATGCTATTTCATTTCTTTTTAAAATGTTACTTTTTTAAAAAGTTGTTGAAAGCCAGGTAATTCCCTGAACAGCTCAAGGAAGATGGTCAGAATTTATATTCAGATATGCAGTCTTCTCCAGGGACCCAGGTTGTCTGGACTGGTGGGATCAGCAGGAAGGTGAGAACAACTAACTTACAGAACAGGGGAGGGATGGTGAGCAAGAGAGTTGGGCCCGCGGCATATCCACCTAACAGAGCACTGGTAAGGTAACCACCTAGGGAAGGTGGCAGAGACTTCTGCAGGGATCAAGTCAGGTAAGCCTTGAAACTGTAGAGTGGAGGAAAGAAAGAAATTCAGGCCAAAGGGAGGAAAAGGGCCGAAAGGCAGCTGTCCTGCAGGTTTCAGAGCAGGGCAAGGACAGCTCCTAAGCACATCTCCCACTGACAAAGGTTTACAGAGGATGCCAAGAAGATGAAACTATTCATCCAATAGTTCTTGTATATGTATAGTTAGATCTGGGATGGGGGACAAGCGGGGAGAAGGAGAGAGTGATTTTTTTAAAGCATATAAAAGGAAGAAACTCAACCGAATTTTAAACAAGCTCTAAATAAGTTGTATGCCTTTTGACCTAGATGTACTATAATTTCTTGATTATTCCTGTTCATTTCCAACCATAGAAATAGAATTCACAATTATTAGTCTATAGGGCCAGATAAAGTGTGTTTATAGGATGTAGCTTTTCATTTTTAATGTTGCATGTACAAAATTTTAATATGTAAGATTTTGTGCAGATTTAAATAAATAGTTCTGTATATCAATTAATAAACCGCCTCCTATTGTAAATTTCTAGGGAGATATATTTTGATGACTAGTAACTTTTCCTTTATATAAAATCATAAGATAGATAACTAAAACATAGTATCTTTAGTAAATCCAGAATAATCACCTTCCCAAATACACAAGAACTATGAGTGACTTTCATCTTAATTAGGTTTATAAATCAACGTGAATATTAGCTCATTTACAGAAATAAATGAAAATAGGTCTGATGTATATTCATGTCTAAGTGCAATCTGCCTCCCTTATGATGTCCCCAGCAGACTTTGAGACATATTTAAATATACAATTTCCATCGTTCTCATTTCATGGTAGCTCAATAAACAAAGTTCCCATCTAACTGACATACGAAATATTAGGTTCTTTCTTGAATAACATTTTTCAACTTTGACAAACTCAATAATTGATCTGCAAGACTGTACAGTGTATTTCTTAGATAAAAAACTTTTTAAAGAGATAGTGATCAAAGGATGGCATTTCATGATCCTTTTAAACTCTGCTACCTTATGGAAAGTGGAGTAAAATCTCTCTAACCAACTAACTAAAGTAAGCAACAGAAACAGAATTCCATTCCCCTTCAATGGCTAACTCAAATGAGTTTTTCAGCTTTATGATTCTTCAGGTAGTAGTTTATCTTTATATTCACCTAAAAAATAATCAGAGTAGTTCTCAACTTAGAACTACAGGGAAAAGGTGATGAGCTGACGGGTTAAAAACCTGTTAAAGATATTAATTTGTATTCTAAAATCTCAAGACTCTGAGAAGCCTATCTGTAGATTTATAAGCGTTCTCAGTAACTGTAAAAGTCTTTTAAAATTGTTCCAGAGATGGTTTAAACTAACCAGATGCATTAAAAATCAACATTCACAGAACTAAAAATACACAGATGTTTTAACAAGCTTCTTATGATTCATAATTCTGGTAATTTTTTTAAGCTCCATGAAATATATTTCACTTTGAACTTCAATGAAATTACCTTACACAAGAGTCTTTTATAATTTCTTGAATCTTTCAATCTGAGAAAATAATTCCAATTGAGGAAATAGAAAAGTCACTGTCTGTATTTTTCTGTTGTAATATAGATGAGGTAAGAATATTATTTCTCCTCCTTTAAGAAGCAAGAGAGCTCAAAAAGTTTACCAACTGACATAACTGGACATCTCTCCCTTCCTTCCAAAAGATGAAAAATCCCATCAGACAGGAAACACACCCTTTAGATTAGTAACAGGTGTAGAACAGGCACACCAGTCAGCCTTTATTTTCAGCGTCGGCAGGCAGGCACGCTCAGCGACTGAGGGTCCAACTCTTCCTCTTTACTGCAGTGACACACATCATATTATTCCTTCACCTACACGTCACCAAGCAGAAAAGATCCCAAGCAATAAAACTCCTTGATCTTGATTGAATGCCAGGCTATTCATAAATA